ATAATGAAGCGTTTAACAATACATAAGGTGATGAATCAGGTAATAGTGATGAGTTTTTGTCTATTGTTTTTCATATCTGCCTGGCTATGAATGGATCTAACTACAGATGGTAAGTAAGAACTTAGCTTTCTTATTCCAAATGTTTGTATTAACTAACTGACGTCATCTTTTCAAATAAGTACATATAATTTCGTTTTGCAACCATAGGAACTATACTTACATATTGAAATTACTGAAAACGATTAAATCATTCATATCTTGTCCACATCATACGCAATCATATTGCTCAATGATTTGGAAAATCAATCATATTGACAGTTTAGTACATCTCAAGTAGAAGTGAGATAATATTGAAAGTGTGATATGTAAGGGGATACGTAAAAATGCTACGTTATGACTTCAGAAAAGGTGAAGAAGTGAAATGTTTACGTTTACGATAATTTCGTGACAGTGAGTATTGTGAAATCCCAATCTATGAAAGAATAAACGTATCACTTAGTATCCACAATCTCTATGTGTACGTGCATTTATAAGATCAATAAAAATACAAAATGTACACAATGAGTTGAAAAGTAACAAACTGTCCAATAATAAAAATGACTTAGTTTATATTTAGTCAAACTAACTGATACGGTATGATGAAGGGGTTATGAACCCTTTTATATTTGATAAAAGCTGATTATATTGAACAAAGCTTGTCGTTTTCAATTCAAATTCTATTGATTAAAATAACATTGACTCTCTTATTAGTTTGACTTAACAATTGATGAGTTAAAGGGTTTGTTGGATATTAGAGCGTTAAACAATACCTTAAGTGATTAATCATGTCATGTTGAGTATTATTTCTGTTGTGTTTCATAACTGCCTGGCTATGAATGGATCACACAACAGATCGAAAGTAGCAGCTTAGCTTTTTATTCCAAATGTCTTTGTTAACTACCTGACGTCTTCTTTTCAATGAAGTACAAATAATTTCGTTTAACAGACTTTACTTACATATTGAAATTACTGAAAACGGCAACATCATTCATATCTTATCCACATCATAAGCATTCATCTTGATAAGTTATTGGATTTACATAGAAGTGAGTTAATATTCAAAGTGTCATAAGTTAAGGGATACGAAAAAAGCTTCAGAAGTTATGAAGAAAAGAACTTGTAAAGTTTACGATTATTTCTAGACACTGTTTATTGTGACATCCTGTCATATTAAAGATTGAACGCATAACCTAGTATCCACAATATCTGTGTGCGTGTTTTTCTAAGCTTAATTCAAAATGTACACAATAAGTTAAATAGTAAAAAATATGCAATTATCGAAATGACTTAGGCCAACTAAATACTATCGGAATACTCAAGGAATTATGAAACCTTTATCTTTGATAAAACCTGATTATATTGAAACACAGCTTGTTGTTTTCAATTCAAATCTGTTGACTAAACTTATATTGACTCGATTATTAGTTTGATTTAACAATGAATGTGTTAAAAAGTATTGTTAGATATTGGCTTTAGCATCGTTCGACTTTGATATCACTTTTCTGATTTGACCAATCAAAACACCGATAACAAACTACCATGGGAGATATTACACCTAGTAAAAACCTGGTTAGCTTGACGCTACACAGACCACGAGAAAATCCTTCTGAGACATCAGCCCATTCTATTGCGCAGAATAATCATCTTTTATCTATCAAGAGGGAATTATTCTCTAGGGGGAAACATAACGTTTAATTCCACAGTTAACTTTCATTTTCATGAAAGCCAGCAGACTATGCAGGTCATCAATTATTCGGAGAAATGAAACACGGTGTCAGCGTCTCCAAGTCTCGAGATAGGATGAGCGATTGACAAGAAGTTTAAAAGAACCAGGGTTATAAGTATAACTTACATAACTGTTAGGTGGTGTTGGTATTTTATCATCAAGATCAGAGGTGAAAAACAATTCTGCATTTTTCCAAGTCCCCACCGTTGAGGATTTGGTGCTTATCAACAACGCGTAGTGATCTGAGTTGATATGACGGGACTTTTTTCTAAATAATTAAATAATGATAATAATTTGAATTTTATTAAAAAAAATACAGAGAGGACTTTATTTCGCTGCGCATTCTTGAAAGATATTAAAATATTAGCCACACTCGTAAAATATGTTTGGAATTACTGAAGACACTGTTACATATCCTCTTTATATATCTAAAATATATAAATACGTTCAGCTGAAGTTAGTCAAGTACAGCATGTTTCTCCTTTCATCATACCACAGGTGTACTTTTCAAATTTACTGAATAATGCTGTGCAGATATAGTTTTTCCCTACATTTCCCCTCATATTTTCATAAATTTAGATACAATAATATGTCAGAGGATATTATGTGCCAGTCCGGCAGGACCGGTGTGTATTGTTCCACTCTAAGGTACTGTTGTTGTAGCTCTATAATATCCGCAATGATTCGTAATGTGTCATGCATACATGGATCTTCCCAACTTGAAACAATTCTTTAAAATGAAACGAGGCGTATCATTTTCAATGATTTTTTTATATGACTAGTTTAATTAATGTGTATGGTGGTCTTTACAATACTGATCATGTTCGTTTACATCTGCCCTTTTATAACTGGATATAACAACAGTAAATACTATCTTTTGTTCCGTAGCGAATATAAGTATATACAATCTGACCTATATGTCCAAATTTGTAATGGTTTTCCTATTTGGCTATTACATGTATACACGATTTACTTGCTTGTTAAATTTAATAAAACATTTGCATTTGGAAAGGAAGTCACAACCTTGTCCCATAAAAGCTTCCACCTAGATTAGCGTTTAAATTTGATGCAATAGCATTTACATAGGAGTGTGTTATTTTATATATTCAAAGTGATATAGGTGAGGGAAAACGATACATTAATAAATTATGAAAATTGTGACATCGACATGCAAAATATGTTACTATGTGGATAGTTTTGTGGTTCAGTGATAATCAGTTAAGAAATTCCAAACTTGCAAAAAAAAACATATTTTTTTTCAATTTACCATTGTATACGGATTTGAAGAATGCAACATGAAATGTACAGTCATATAATAAATAGTATCAAAACATCGAATAATTACCGTTTCTATGTTAACATCCGAATGGAAATATCATTTAAAAATCTCGTAATTGGTGCAACAATGACATAACCTAAACTAGACACACTCTTCATAAAACTGTATTCAATGCTTGTATAATCAGAAAAAATCTAGATCTTCCATAATTTCTAAATACAGCAAAATAAGAAAATCAATGCGAATAATTGACATTTGTTGTCATTTATGCCGTTAATTTAGATGTACAATATCTTATCTAAACTTATATATATACAGATATGAATTAATTGTTAAGCTAAATATTTACAAAAATAGTTCTAGAAAAATACATAATATTATATACAAATGTATACAAGTGAAATTCGACATTATCATATTGATGATAGAACCCTGCTCAGAAAGATAAAGAAAAATCCTATTGTTCAGATGAAGCATTAACTCTAAAATTTCAGTGACCTCCCGGAGCAGTCTGAAAAAAATATAGCCTTCTGTTTTTAAAAGTAAACAGTTTTTAAATACATATACGAAAAACATGGTGTTTATTTATTTGTATATTCCTTGGTGTTTTTTATTTAATTTTTTCTTGTTCCATCCGACTGACTTAGTAAAGTAATATACGCATTTATTCGAAGTACTGAATCCTTTTTATTCGATAAACCTGATTATAATGAAACGATATCTTGGGTTTTTTTAAACAATAACTCTGTTATTTAAACTGAAATGGACAAGTTTATCAATTTGACCATGAACATGGTCAAATTATGAATATGAATGTAATAAATAGTGACGTGGGTGATATCGAAAGTGATATTGATTATGTGTTTCAAATCCTCCTGGTTATGACCGGATATAACAACAGTCGAGAACTAACAACTTTGATTCCATTACAAATGCTTGTGTGCATCTCCTGTTCAAGTTCATGCTTTCAATGTCATTTGGCAATCATACATATTTTATTTGTTTATTTGAACTTAAATCATTGCATCTGAAAAAGACACAACTTTCATAACCTAGTAATAATTCAATAAGCTTCTACCATTATAAGCGTTTGCGTATAATGCAATTGACGTTTATTTCAGTGCTAAATTGTTTGAACTTTAGACGTCATGTAATGAAAGTTGATAAATGGCTCTGTATAATACAAAGTCTATTCATAGGTTTCCTGTCATATCAAGAGATTCATAATATAGCTTGTTTTAGATAGTACACATGTTCTAGACTATTAGTTGGTTATTTCAAAAATTCTGCATAGTCATATTTATGCACATGTTGGTAGGAATGTAATGGTTCTGAAGAAAGTGTGTTTATATACCTAATAAATATCGATGGAGAACATGGGGGTTCCATCTGGTAAGGTTGTCTGTTTATGATTTGCTATATACTTATTTTTTATCAGAAGAAGGGATATATTTACTAGAACAGTACCAAACACGTACACCTCTCATTGATCAGTGTATATAATAATAATTCAGAATTACTTGCGTCTACAATTATTAATGTTCAAGTTCGAAAAATTTCATTGAAATATAATAAAAAGTTTTGGTCGAATACATTTTTGTTAAATTTGGCCATAACAAAAATTCAAAATACTTTTTTTACATAGCTCCCCCAGTAGTAGCATTCTTGACAATCTTAGTTACATATTTGGTTATCTTTTCAAACACTTGTTCTAAGTTTCGTGATTTTATAGACAGACAAACAGAAAACTTGAACAACCGTAAATTTCCATTTAAGAGGTTTCAATCTACGTTTCATTCACACTGTTAAGTTACCGCCATTACCCGATTTCAGTCTTCGGTATATCCGGTTTTACCATAAATGAAGACTGGTTATCATCATAGAGCATATATGACATATGTAAGTTCATATATTTGACGGTAGACCTAAAGACGAAAATTGCATTCGGTGCAGAAAGAGATGTTCCATTTGGAACCTTTGTGAGGGTTATGTATCTTTATTTTTCGACAGGGAAACGTTTTTATTTGATTGTTCTTGTCTTTTTAAATCTTCTTTTTATTAATCGCATATGTGTAAATATTTTAACATTTTCCTTTACAGAAACACCTGAGTATACAAAGTACGTAGCGCTGTTTAAGGGATTAAAGGAGAGATACCGGCACATACGCGTAGTCTTCACCGGCCGAGAGGGTGCAGGGAAGACGACCCTCTGTGGCCGGGTCAAGAACGAAGATGTCGACATAAAGTTGTGTAAGCCAACTGAGGGAGCCGTTTATCACCCTGCATGGTTCGTCATTGACTGGAAATCCAAAGAATGGGTGTATAATGCTGACCAATCGCCTGCGAGTGTGGTTACAACACGTATGGGTGCATTGGTGAAGACCATAGAAACATTAGAAAGAGAAGCTGGTTTACAAGCAGGTAATCTACGGATACTTTACATAAAGTCAATGGATAAACCAGTATGTGAGCAATGACACATATTTTATGTACCCTGTAGTTTCTTTTGATTCCATTTTTACTGACTTTACAATGGAAATGTTTCTTTATGTCGTACACAATATCATATATATAACTTAATCAAGAAAAACAAATAAAGAGCAATCTTCATCGAGACTTCACAATGGAAATGTTTCTTTATGTCCTACAAAATATATTACATATAACATAACCAAGTAAAAACATAAAAAAAACGATCTTCATTGAGACTTGTTCTCATGTTTCATTGTATGCTATTATAGGGTCCAAAGACGGCTCATTCGGATTACCTTTGTCAGAAAACCCTGCAGCAGACGCAGATAAAACATACCACGAATCGTTGGAAGTCAACTTTGCTTCATTTGAGGCAAAAGCTGATGGAGCGTTTCTATCTCTGTGGTATATGGGTGGACACACGTCATTTCAAGCTTCACACAATGTGTTCATATCATCACATGGTGTATACCTTCTAGTCTTCAGGCTGACAGACTTTCTCAAAGACAAGTTGGAAACTGGTAAGTAAATGAACGATCCAATTTTCCTCCTTTCAATGCATATGCAAACGTTCAAAGATACCTTAACACCATTCATCTTGCAAATAACAAATAAATGTCAATCGACTCGTTTTCCCGTTTATAAATTTATTTATTTTTTACTAGTATCTTATCAACATCAAGAAACGAGGCCAACCTTTAAAGCATCGGTGGAGAGAGAAACGAAGACTATAAATAAAAACTGTTTTGTAGATATGAAAACACAACATAATATTTAACAACAGGTGGTAACAAGGACAAAAAAGAATCTCTGAATTCTATTTGTTTATATTGACGAAAATGTAGAACTGTGAGGGTACAGTAAAAAGATGGATACATTTTTTAGATGGTTAGGGTGTGGAATGAAAATGTATATCTTTTGTATTGTATATATAAATGATAATATTTTGTAGTGTACATTGTAATCATACTTTAATCATACATCTTATTTGAACATTATTGCGATGAATCACACGGTAAGGTAATGAAGCGGTGTCCTTGAAAAATTGAAGGATAAGTGTTGATTTTGTTTCGTTAGTTTGATATAATAACAATGTTGAATGATTTTGCTGTAATGATTAGCTTTGGTTGGTTAGTTGACACCTCCGGGTATAGCAGATGAAATCAGAGAAAAGGAGAAAAATCTAATACGAAGCAAATGCCTGACCCTTGGCCATGATGAACATCTAAGCGTGTTCTGATTGACAAGCGTCAATGAAAAATAGCTAAGTACAAAAGCGAGGTTACAATCCTTTTGCAACCCATTTCTATGTTTTTGGGGAAGAAGAGTACAGATAGAAATCAGACTACGGTGTTCTATGGACATTGCAATTGCTCCAGTAAGAATATAGATTTGGCGTGAAAAAAGAAACTCTGATTCCAGGGATGGAACTGATGAAAAGCCAGTCTAAGATTATAATCAATTTGAGTTCCTTTGCTACAGGAAGTTACAGTATATCCTTGATAGGGCTATGCTACAATGCTTATTTTGTTGACATTTTACGGGTTAGGCTGTGTTTAAACCTAGCTGTGCACGAATATTTATTTAATAAATTAATCAGATTTAGATCAACATGAATATATTAGTATGTTATATTATTATACATGGCAGTAGGAGCTAAATGTAACTTGCAAAAAACAATATGTTACCAAAAACGAACGTATCATGGGTAATATACTGAAATAAACATATGAACCAACGTTTGTCAAACGTCATCCCACAGGAGAGATTTCTTAATCAAGCAAATAACACTGTAACCACACACTAGCTTTTATTTATATACATAACGCATCAAACGGGGAAATCATTTCTGAGACAGAAAAGTTAAGTTTTTTTAAATTTATTGATATACATATGTTAACCATTTTACTTTTATGATCTTTATTTTATGATAATTGTCGTTATCTACACATCACATGTTATATTATATATTTCATTACCTCTTCAACTTTTATTACATTTACACATACCGTGCTAATGCTTTTAAATATATTCATTTTTATCTGATGTTATCTACGCTACTCGCATCATGTCTGTTTAAAAAACAAAATCACCATGGCCCTAAATGACCATAGTTCTTTAGTTCAGTCTTTTCTGTTGTCTTGCTAGCGCTAAATTAACTGAATAATCCAATAGCATAGACGTGTATCTTTAATTGTCTATGTTACATAAACGGAACTTTTGAATGAAATATTAAAAATAGATACTGAAATTTGGAGGTTGTGTTTCTTTTGCTTGTCAGTATATATATATAATCACGAACATGCAACTTAAGCGTTAACTGTTAGTTAATACATGCTAATTTAATATAGTTCCTATCTATGGGGAAAATATTTCGACGCAATTCAACCAGAGACCCATGCAATCGATTTCTTTGACACCTAGAACACTCCGTTCCAGCCCAGGTACTCTTTAAATTCTGTGGATTCTTAACCAGCAATATGCTGATCTGACAATTCTCATTTATAATCTTTTCCGAGCCGTAGCTTTTAATCCGTAAAAAATATTTAACGCATTATGTAATTTGAAATTAAACAGTCATTTATTACATTTTCAAGTTCTTAACATAAATGGGATTCATGCCCCCTCTCCTTCTGTTCCTATAACAAACAAACAAACGTTGAAATTAAACTTATTTTTAGACCCTCCTTCTAACTAAAGAAATTATTCTGGTCGGAAATAACACATGTGTCGTATTTAAGTTGGAGGTGTATACACTTGTTTTTAACTTTTTGCCTATAGAGTTGAATGGTATATGTTTAAATAAAAAAAACACCATATATGTATCCGTATTTCCGATAGACACCTTTGCTTTTTAATAATCATGTATTCTTTTTGAGTCCAGATAGACTAAAGAAATGGATCCGATTGATTGGCACATTTTCGTCAGTTGAACTCAATTCGCCAAAATTGAAGCCACATGATCCTCCACTTATTTTCGTCGGTACCTTCCTGGATGAGTTTAAGAGAACGACTAAGGTAAATATGATAAATATCAATTTTGTGTCAATATTATCATAAAAAATAATAACAAACAAATGTTAGCGCTAATTCATTTAATTATATACATATATTTTTGCTAAGATAAAAATAAACATGTATTTTTGTACACATTGTATGCTGCTCTGATACAAATTAATTGTCCTTAAGTGTTTTTCTACCTTGACAAACTCATATGCTTTGTTTTTAATACAAAAAAGTAAAATGTAAAATATTGTATTGATTACCATTCCAGGATTACGCCCAACTGGTAAAGACAATAATGTCAAGCATTGCAAAATTCCCCGAACTTTCAGCTCACAAATTCGTCAGGTTCTGTACAGCCGATAACAGCCTTGGAAAGGACGACACAGAACTGAAAAAACTGCGAGGTTTAATTACAGACGCAGCTAATCATCAAGATCAGTGGGACAGAGAGCTCCCGACCAGATGGTTAAAGCTGGAGATGGACTTACTTAAAGCCAGAGAAGAAGGAATCAGGATGCTCACTTTGGCGATGGTTATTGAAGTAAACAAAAAGTCTGTAGCCCCTTTAACGGACGAGGAGGAAATGAAAATGGCACTAGAGTGAGTATGTCTTCAAAGGTGTTACGTAAACATATATTGTAATGATTAACTAAGTATTGGTATCATCATTTAATGAGCAATTATGTGTTTGGTGTTATCAATTCGTATTCGTATTTTTGTACGAAGAAAAACGAACATATCAGAAGCATTGAAGGTGGCTCCAAATTTTTTTTCCACATGATTTAAATGTTGTGACAGTTTTAATAAAAGTGTTCGTGTATATTTTAAGGAATAATACAATAATTTTTTTCAGATTTCAATATCTATTTTACTAAATTCTATTGTATTTGTGTCCTTATCTAAAATGCTCTTTTAAGGACTAATCGAGTTATTTAAACTGACTATAACGACAATTATGACAGACAAGGGCATGAGATACAGTGCTAACAATGCTTGTATCCTATTTTCCCCAAATCTTCAGATACCTCTGTTACAATGACAACTCAGAAATATCAAAATATCAAACTGTCAACAGAAGCTTTATTAACAGAAAAGTCATTACTCGGCAGTATCGTATATTTATTTTATAAAAATTTACACATTTCACTGTGGATTGTTCCAGTTGACACAATACAATACATTCAAAAACAACTGGAAACTATTTTATCCATTCATTTATTGTTTGTCATTTTTGAATATAAATAATTGAATTGAAACAAAAATATCAATTCAGTATGATTGTGAAATATCGATGGTGGATGTGATACAATGTTTTGTTGCTAATAACACCATTTGAAATTGAATGTAGATTTCAAAACTATCTTAACATCCGTTAGACCTGTGAATTTATTTATATATTTTTTTCAATCCATTGGGTCGTGTAACTAAATACAAGTTATGTATAATACCTTTATTTATTTTGTGTAGGTACCTTCATTGTACAAGGTCTGTGATTTATTTTCGGGAGTTTGACTTCATCATCAACGATCCGCAGTGGCTTGCTGATTTTTTCAGCATCTTCATAACCGACGACCAGTTTCTCCCAACAGATGACCTCCTGCTCACTCGAGATTTAGAGCTGTGTACGACAAAGGGCGAGTTGACCCACGAGTTGATCGATGGTCTTCTCAGCCTGGAAAAGAACCAAAGGTTTCGTCCCCATAAGTCCAATCTCCTGGCCCTGATGGAAAAGTTCGGGCTGATAGTAAGGATACTGATGTCGGGAACCACTACAGAAAATGCACAGTTCAGTGAAACGTACACCATTCCGAGCAAACTTATGGAGCTACAAAACTTTGACGGTATAACAGAGAAGGTCAGTTACCTCCAACAAAGCAATCTCTTTGTCTCTAAAACCTTATGCTTCGTGTTCAAAGATGTTTCCGTACCAGATGAGCTGTTCCACAGAATCTTTGCCAAGATCATGAGGACGTACAAAGTAGCGTCACTATCAATACAAGGTTTAGAGGAGGCAGCTGAACGTGACCAGGCGACGACAGACAATACCACTTGTCTATATTCGGGTTTTGGGTGTTTCGAGGTCAACGACCTTTGCAGAGTGATCGTGTCAATGCACGCAGAGAGGTCAACAATCGCCGTGACTGTGATCAGTCTGATAGAGATCGAGCTTCCCGCAGATACCGGACCACGTATTAGGCTAAAACTCGAACAGATTCTACGAGACACGTTGCAAATGAGTAACCAGCTACACTTCCAGTACGCACACCAGCTGCACTGCAACTTCCACCTGAGGCCATATGACACCCCAGTACAACTGTACGGCATCATCCACTCAGAGAGGGGCGTGCCCTGTAAAGGTGTAGAATGCCGAGGACAACATCGACTAACAAAAACGGACAGCACTTTTTGGGACATCGAACAGGTAACATGCTTATATTTATAATTCGCATATCGTTTTAAAATAAACTGTAGCAGCACTGGGTGACACAAATAAATAATTGTCAGTATGCACTACTGTCCGTTATAAGTCGATTTTCAAAGGACGCAATCCATAAAATACGTGAGGTTGCGATGCAATTCGCAGTGTTATAGTCGTTCAATTTGAATGTTGAAAAATATGAATAAAAAGAAAAGAGACACAGCAGAAGGTAAACTCAAAATATTAGTATTGCAAAAGTCTTCATTTTAACGATGTTGTTATCCTGGATCAACACATGCTCAGCATCAAAAATAATGTCCAATTGATGTATCGCAAAGACTTTGATAATGTACGTTGAAACTTATAGATGTAGTTTCTTTTTCATTTAGAAAAGTTAATAACTAAAGAGGAGAACTAGTGAAACTGTTCTTCCCTATTATACATGTAGTTAAAATGCACTAAACTTTTAAGCTGTCACTAAATAATAATCATGAAACCAGTATTTCGTGAACGAAAACATTGTTTTTTTCTTAGCAATTCACTATTGGTCTAAATCTTCCTTTGCAAATATTATACATGTAGAAAGGTGACTACAGGTTAACGACTGCATTCTTTATTTCCGAGTTTCTAAGATTAATTAAATCTCTCATCCCCTTGGGGTGAGATAGGGAATCTCAACCCGAGGGTGAAGATTCTTACGTTGCCAAACACGAGGCTTTGCCGAATGTTTGGCAACTTTAGAATCTTTCCCCGAGGGTTGAGATTCCCCTATCTTACCCACATGAGGGTGAATGATTCTTTTTCTCTTACCCCGTTCTCCCAATGTGTATCATATACACAATGTAATGATAATGTTACATGCTAAATTCAGGGTTGACGTGACATTGATGGATTGTTGACGTGGCGTTATACCATTGTTATGAATAGGGGAATCCCCCCATCTCAACCGTAGGGTGAGACAAGGAAATCTCACATCGATAAAAGTGCGGATACACCTGTCCAGGGTAATAGAAAGTTTAAACCATACACAAATTATGACGGTATTAATTGGGAAAGTAATATTTATCCTTGATAACGTTTGTCTTTTTTAGCACTTAGCGACGGTTGAAGGCAGAGAAAATGTCGCAGGTAAGGAAGAATTCAAACTAAGCTTGTCTGTAAATGATCTAAGATTTAGAAAGTAAACGGATTCAGTGTATGCGTGTATTAATTGCCTCGTTGGAATTTGAAAATAATTCGGTATATTTCAGTTTATACTTGTATGTGTGCGATTGATATTTCTCAAGCCCAGGGGATTAAATAGGTTTTATAGAAATTCTGCCGTTTCATATGTGAATCAATAAAGTTAGTCAAGTATTTAATCATATATGGTATGTATTGCTGTGAGCATGGCATTATATTTAATATCTTCTACATATAGTGTAGATAACTCTACTTGACAACGTGTAATGTGTGGTCAGTATCAGGACAATATATATCATGTTCTAAAAATTGCGTCACCTTCAATAACATCAGTTTACAAATAACAGGTGTACGAAACACTGTCCGTAAGCCAAGATTACTACTTCTTAAAATATTGGCTTGAGGGGATAATATAGTTTTAAATAGAACAAATAACAACTAAGTAGTTAATGTACAACATTCAATTACTGTTGTATATATAACATATATAGAAAAGTCAAACTACATCACACATAATTGATATATCCATCATACAAAAGAATACATTGACATACAATTTGAAAACATAAAAAAATGGCATTTCTGGGGCAAACTCAGTGACGGTATAGAGTGTCGACGCTATTCCTCGACTAGCTGGCAATTACATGTCTCTCTATAAATGTGTGCAGGCTATGCTGTTACACTAAATAGAGTGCGAGGATGTAATAAGTGGTGGTGGAGCCGTTTCCGCCTTATCTACTTCTTTGGGTGCATTGCAGGCCAGACTCGAAGAGGAATAGCGTCTTATATGTTTTAACTTTATATAATTCTTATGTTTTACCCAGACTGGCTGTAACTCTTTGTCTACATTACTCCAGTCTGACTGGCTGTAACTCTTTGGTTACATTGCTCCAGTCATTGCTCCAGTCTGACTGGCTGTAACTCTTTGGTTACATTGCTCCAGTCTGATGTTGGGGTAACTTATATAAAAGTTATAGCATTAAATGGGACCACTTAGACTGGCTGTAACTCTTTGGATACATTGCTCCCGCCTGTGTTGTTGTATCCCAATATTATGTAATAGAATAATTTTTCATTAATATCTGAATATAGTGAAATAAATATATCATTCAATTTTTGGGGAAAACAAGGCGAATATATAACTCACTGGTATCAACTATACTTCATATGTATCAACTGAGATTGCCCAATTATTTGTTGTTTCACACCTGATATCATTATATGATATCGTACATAAAACTCATATAAATTTACTATCTTAATTAAAAACCGCTGTCATTCATATTTACAGGTATGTGGTTGGGGTGGTGATGGTAAACCCGAAAAATAAAACTTATGAGATTGGTCATTTAGCTCCGGACGCTGGGGAAAAAGTGACCAGCAAGCTATCAAGAATCCTCAAAGCCAATCAGACAGCGATAAGCTAACACGTGTCCGGTCACTCTCTTCATAGACCGCTCAGGCCCTGGTTATGTATACGGTCGATGTTCCTATATAAAAAACCTACAGATCATGATTGTCACTGACAATCATATATATACACGATGTTTAGGTTAATGTTGCAGACTAGTCCATCGAGGCTTGACTAGTATTAATAGAAATATTATTTGTCCAGGCTTATGTACATAAGCCTCAAAAGATACTGCTATCCTCGATACTATGTATGTTTCCGAACTGCAGACCGAAGGAAACGGGCCTAGTCAAAGATAACCAGCAACAAGTGACACAGTAAAATCTTGTTCTTAAACTGTTTCATTGAAAGCTATTGTGCGAACGATTTAAAAATGTAATAGTTCAGTTGCATTTTCTGAAAACCTATCATTTCGGTTAGGAAATACGAAAACATCCATGAGAGTAAGTCTAAATAAGCAAATATAACAAATTGCTGCCATTTAAAGAGTAGTATCGTTTGATGTATATTTTTGTTATATAGTTATTACCAGAATTGATACCCATCATAAGCAATCACCATTACCAGATTATCAACTTTAGTTACAACACAGTCAGTGTGCTACAATTCCTATTCCGTTTTAATAGTGTAATGTTACTGCGGCAAATACACCTTTTTACCGGTATGACCGTGCTTCTCATAATTAAATTCATGATTTGTTTGATAGTTAACTGTTTTAACGTACCAATTTCGTCCACCTTTGATCGAAATAAGGTAAATTTCTTATGCACAACCAACGATTTTAACGCCCATGTAGATCACTAGTTATGTACATTTTAAAATACTCTCTAGACTCCATTGCATTAGTTACAGTTTTTATCAACTTTTATGGATGTTTTAAAGATCCCTGCCTTCCCTGACGCAATATTTTGATAAAGATCGACACGTTTAAAATCAAAATATACATTTCCCTAATCTTCGCAGCAAATAAACATAAATTGGAATAGTCACGATGTACATATATGTGACAAATACTTGACGCATCAAGTTGTATATTCGACTTCAAACTATCGAATAGATGATTGAGTGACACTTATGTAAACATTGAGGACTTCAATTGTTATCTTTGCATAGTTGTTCCCAGAATGTAATATGTCTTACTATTAGTTGTCCTCTGATTGGTTTAGAAACGACGGAGGGTGAAACAAACATCTCTAACAGAAGGCCGACGCCCAGGGAACTTGGTCGTTTGTCCCGTCTGGTCGACGCATCCAGCTGTGAATGCCTTTTTATTCAGCTTGGTCTTCCTTACCCAGAAATCCAGACCACCAAATGGGAGTCACAAAGCTTGGCGGGAATCACTCTGATTACAAAGATGTTTCTCAAATGGACAAACATTTACCCGAATCAGACGTTCCAGGACATCCAGCAAGCTATGACGGAGGCTAAGATGGCAGCTGAATGTATCAGCGAAGTGTTAGAAACTGACGAGGAATCACAAGATCAAGGTTAGAGGAAGAAATACCCTGCACATCATAAAAACACGACATATGCAAACTTAAACTACGTATTGTGCTACAGCATATGTATGTTTCTATGGTATTTAAGGAATGTTTTCTATTTTGGTCCGGTCGTTTAGTGCTTGCCTCTTGAATTCGGGTGAACAGAAAACCCTCTTAAATTTTTTACGATATTTTCTGTGAACGCTTGGCATTTATTCCATAAATAAGGCTAACCAGTTGTTACAATTTTCGTCTTTAAAACGTATGAATATGTGGTTCAATAAAAGTCACAGCCTGAATTTTTGCATAAACCTTGATTAATTGATTTTTTGACATCATACATCAGTATCACATTCGTGAAAAGTTTGCACACATGTATGCTATTCATATCTAATTATTTATAATAATGGTTCTTTGTATTAACTTATTAATCGGTAACCTTACATGAGGAAATTAGGAGGGAAAAATCTGTAAACGTTAGCTGTAGGTTTATCTTTTCATACATTCATTTCAGTACCTTGCAGGTATATGTAGAATTTCCTGTAATCAGTTGTTTTTAAACTTTTCCACAGGGAATATGACTTAAAGGGAAAAAATATTGTGTTTGCAGATATGGTTCCAGTCGATGTCTGGAATAGAACCCCGTCTGATGCTGAGATAGAGAAAATCGTCACCAATGTTGGCAGTGCTTTCTTTAACCTGTGTCTGGAGCTCGGATTGTCACCTCCAATAATAGAGCAGCATGAACTTGGTCACCCTGTCAATATCCAGGCAAGGATGAGTGCTCTACTCCGGTATTGGATAGACAGATTCCAGACGAAGGCAACCATTGGCAGGTTGTTGACAGCGATGAAGGTTTGTCGGATGGACTGGCATACAACAGCACAGATTTGGTCACCATGATTAGGAAGGACAATATGAACGTGTGAAATAAGTTCACGTCACTCTGGACATTCACACACCTTCCGTCACACATGTACATATATAAGATAGGATTAATGTTATCACAAGTTCACTGACACTTTATAATTAACTAAAAAAATAATTAGCCAAACCTTATAAATAAATATTATTGGAACCAGAAAAAAAACGTAGAAATGATACTAATGACAAAGCATTAATATTTAACAGTTCAGACAACACGTTAGGACAAAACAAAGGTGTCTATCATATGTGTGTGTGATTTACTCAATGTTAATGGTGAGTTTTCTAAAACAGAATTAAAATCAATTTCCGATGAAGATTTTAGAATTCTGGAGACCTTTATATATTGCTTTGTCATTGTGCATAGACCATTCATATTCATGGGTGAAATATATAAAGCTGAAAATGACTTTCTATCAGGACTGCAGTTAATTAGAATGGTTAATATAGTGCGGTTGTTATCCCATCCTGAGATGATAGCGAGAATAAACTATCAACGAAATATAGGCACATTAAAATATATTAATTACATCATAACAATATATTATTGGGGTCTTTTTGGCACCTAGGTGATGGCATATTAACATTTTGTATAATTTTGATATTTTCTTTAATATTGAGCCTTTATGCACGATTTTCCTGAGAGATGTTTGTATATATTTATTGCTTTGTGTTTTCATGTATATTTAGAGGTCAAATACTGAGTGATTTTGACATTGTTTATTTGCATTATTAGTTCTGAATATATGTAGCATGCTTAGAATACTTCACGTGTGAAATCTTCGATTTTATTACAGCAGATTTGTATTGTTAATCATTGTCCTGTAATCGGAGTTTACATTTTTTGTCATATGAATATCTAGACATAGCGTTGTACGCTGTAAATTACCTTTTGAGGCTCTTTACACAGTGTTATGCCCCTTTGTACATTTAAAAAACCACATTGATTTGTTTTGAAATAATTATGAAGATTGAGACAGTTTCCGATCCCTTTACAAGGGGTTTGTCACAGGTAACAATCAGAAAAAACCCAGATGTTAACGTATTCAGACCTTTAGTCAAATATATAATAGTATGTTATCAAAGATCGCCCCATCTTACAGTAAAATGAACTTTTCTAAGTAATTAAGCTTTCATTTGTGTTAATTGTCAAGATTCGTCAATATTCTGATTATGTAGAACTTTCTTTTCACAGGTAATTACGATGTAACAAAATGAATCAAATACGTACACAACCAACATAATAACGGGCTGAAATACGTAAAGCCGGTCGCTGCTAAATGCGCTTAATCACGATTTTGGTGTTCTCACGCAAAAATATCCCTGTTCAAAGCATTAAATACTTTTTGCTTCTAATGTTGCATCGGATATTAACATATAGATATCATGGTACGATACATGGCATTTCCAATCAAATAGTTAGCTTTGTGTATCATTTAACAACGTTGCCTTATCCAAAAATATTCGCTCAAAAACAAACTATGAGATATCTAGCCTTGTTTACTACAATATAATTTCTATCTATGGGATAATATAAATTGTTGTTTTTTATTTTGTATTTTTCTCATTTATTTGTGTTTTAGAATGTAATGTTTAATTCTTACTTGCAGTGTCCTATTTAAAGGGAAATGAGAATCCATTAAACTTCAAATAAACAGCCCTTTTCTCCATCATATGAAAATGAACACTTTCCAACATTTTACAAATCTAGTAGCAAATGAAGTGGTAACTGTAAACTACTGCCAAATTTGTGACATTATTTTATTGCCGTAAAATTGAATTTCGTACAATTCGGCTAGCAATAACTAGGACATAAAAAATGCTGCTGTACTTCAAACGTATTACACTGCATATGTTTCAAGAAATTTTGCTTTTGTATCTCATGTACGGCATTTTGTCATCTTTTTAACCAAATCATATATGGTTAGTATAATGTGTAAAACGATAAAGAATGGTATGCATATCAAACATTTGTTGGATTACGATTTGTGTTAAATACTTGTCGGAATATGATGTATGACAAGCACTTGTTGGATTACGATTTATTAACATATGTTGGTTAAAATGTAGAGCAAACATGTGTTGGATTGCAATGTAGGGCAAACATTTGTTGGATTACGATGCTCGACCAACACTACTTTATTACGATTGATAAAAGGTGTTTTTTTGGATTACGATGTGTGACAAATACCTGTTTGTTTACAATGACAAAGGTTATGTTTTGAGCTACAAACACATTATATTTGACATGTATAAAGATACTTGTTTTACTAAGATGTTTGCCATTTTGTGATTTTTCATAATAAGATCACTGCATATAACTTACTTTGTATCCCATTTGCATTTTTGTTTGCTATCCGCTTTACTTAATAAATATAGAGTGAATTCTTTGTTTTATGAGTTGTGAGTGATGCGTATGATTTGGTATACCAAAAAGCATAATCACACTGAAAGGAAATCCCCCAGCCCCGACCCCCAAACCACGCTCAAATGATATAGTACATCACAATTAAAAAACTATAACAAACAATGATTATCATTAAAAAATAACTGTCATAGCTGTATCTAATGATTATTGTAAATGAAAGTGTTTTTTTATTGTTTGTTTCTAACAGATACATAACATTGCGTTTCAAATGTAAACAGTTTACCTTCTAGAAACAAAGTTTAACTTATTATTACTTTGAGAAGTACTTTTGTTAAAGTGTAGCGAATGGACTATGGTCTTGTAACGGTGATATATAAACGACTTAGTTTAATTGAAAATTCCTGCTTGTGAAATGGAAACTGATCACGTCTTTTTGCAAACTGTGATATAACTTGAAGCGTGGGCATCACGGATAATCCGCTCCCACAGCATCTGTTTCTCAATAAATACGGCTTGGTGGTTAAAACCAAGGTGATGCTAACGCATGCCCTTTGGTTTCGGTGAACGAATTTAATTACACGACATATTACTTGCTAATAATTCCACCGAATCTGTGAAGTCCATACATGAAATCAAAGCCATAATGTGTTTGACATTCCTGTATTGCACTCTATTTCAGTATTTGATGTCAAGATGAATTGTTCAATCATAGAGGTCATTGCGACTTTGTTTTAGAATTCGACACACACCCTTTCTTCGAATCGTCCGTTTATAAAACAGTGCCTGAGATACGCTCCGGAAACCATTCATTAAGTACTTAAGGTCAAAGACAAAAAAGGTCAAATGGAGGTTATATGACCGGATTTTAGTATGCAACACCTTTCTTTGTTGGGTTTTGGATCGATTTTATTTTGCTGAACGTCCTATTAACATATAAGGTCATTTAGGGAATGATGTGCTGTGTGCCTTCGGCATGGTATGTTAGTGAGATAGCACTAGTATAAAGTCGGCATGAAATCCGCGCTATAATAAGGAGGCAAGTACACCAACATACCCTTCTGTACCACACTTACACGCATTCATGCTTACATACCGCACATGGAGGCACGTCCTTGAATGACATTAGCTGTTAATATGATGTTAAAGTATAGAAAACCAAACCAAACCAAACCAATCTGTTCATGAAACAGCGGCTGCGATATACTCCGGAACCACAATCAGACCGGCTGACAGACGCACGGCCGGACGGACGAAGCGAGAACTAAATACGCCTGACTTCAGTCAAAACAGGGATATAAAAGTAACTATAACCATATATACAACAATAGAGAGCAAAAGGTAAACCTATGTCGGTCAACAACTAGAAAAGCACAATGCCAAGTAGAGACTCGTGACAAAAGCACTTAAGTTTAAATGGTGCGACGGAAGACGACTAGTAAACAACTATAATTTACAAGCAGTTATCTGGAACGCTTGATGAACTTTCATGACCCACATAATATCGCCTAAAAGATAACCATTATATTAATGAGCATGTGTCTTATGTTAGCAATGAATGATCGTTGATGTAAAAATTGAACAAGCGACGAAACGTGAAGCTTGTTTTTTTTTTTTTGGACGAAATGAAGGTCGGCGTCATGGTAATACAAATGACACATATTGCTTCCTGATTCAAGGCAGATTGCCAAACAAAAAGCGAAAGAGGAATGGTAAGATACCGATATGTCTGGTAGTAACTGTTCCTCAAAAAAATCAAACGATACACATGAGACCAATTCTAGAGTAAGTCCGGGTTAGCACATATACATAGTATTAAACAGATCCTTAATAACTTTATATTGTAATTATATGAGGAGAGTGACTTTAAAAGAGTCTAATGAAGAGTATCACGCGGCTGCGTTGCTACTAAGAAACGTTTAAGGTGAAAATAACAGTCGGTGAAAGGAACCGTTTTATCATTACACGTTAGGTTTGGTTTCTTGAGGCAAAGATAAGTAAAGCAAAACAAATGTATGTATCAAACCAAAAGATAAGGTGGAAAAAAGAAACAGCACATGAGTATACTAAAAAGCGTAGGAGAGCGGGGAAATAATACAACGATGTTACGGAAACAACACAAGTATCTTCCTTTTTCTTTGAGTGAGTTCTGTTTCATATAACAATTCGATTGTAGGTTTGGTTGAGTTATTCCTGTTTAAAAGTTGAGAAGTGAAAATAGTAAAAGGACGTAAAATGATATCAAATAAATGACCCATTCAAACAAATACTTGAATCAATTCATATTTAAATATTTTTAATATAAAAAGTATATGGATAACCTTTTACTGACGAGACAATGTTCATGTTTTCAGATCACATGTTAGCGGTCACATTATGAGCTAGACAACCTCTACTCACTTCATTAAATGTGTTGACCTTTAAATATAGTCAGAAATCACATTAAACTTACTACATGGTAGAGTGTAGTAAAAATGTGAATTATTTTATCCAAGGGGGATTTTGGAATATGACACATAGTGGAGAACTTTTAAAGTAAAACACAATCGTTATTCTCACCACCCGTGATCCCATCGGCTATCAAATGTTTTTCCCTCGAAGTAGAAATTTTGAAGGAAACATGTTTATTGAAATTGACGAGTCACCTGTTGTCTTTCTTGGTTTCCCCTAGATAGCTTCAACACATATGAAGAGTACAGGACGACAAAAACCAGTTATACACTGTAGTCTTCATGAATAAAAAACTAGATCGAATATAACTCTAACGGATATCCATAGAATATGGAGAATACTGAAATCACAAGAAGATGCAAATTACTTTTAATGTGATATTTGAGGNACACTAAGCTGCCAAGGGATGAGATGGGGCGGGGTACAGTAGTGGTTTGTGATTTTCAACAATAATCGCCTATTACGATATACATGCAGTAGTACACAGCACCCCTATTGGTGGTGCTCCAATGTCTTCTAAGCGCACAATACTGAATAAACTACCCCATATTCTGCAGGTGGCATGTTCATTTCTTTTGCGACATACAGAGTTCTGGACAAAACACATATAACGAATAATTATAAGAGTACATCAATACAACAAAAATGATATATACAAATTGCTTCCTGTGAATTTACAGATATGTTTGAGTAAACGGAAACAAAACGCAAGCAATAATTCTTAATGCTACTATCTATTTGTATATGCCGTTTAATATAATGTGGTTTCAATTGCATATGATATTGTATTTTAACAAATGATGTCAGATGTTCTTGTTTTGTCATATTCGAATTTGAATATTCCACCTACCACTGGTATCATTATTAGGGACGTTTGTAACCTTATCATGAGTGTAACTGGGTCACTCATGATGAAAGTCAGAGGAGATCGTGATCGTTATTTCTATAGAATTGAGACTTCTCCCGATATATTTTTTGATGGGGACTGTAAGAGACAGTTAGGAATTGTGTGTATATCAGGATCAATTTCGTCTACGGAAACATTGTGAAACAGGCAACAGTTAACACTTTATCAAAGTGGAGATCGAACTGAAAATAAGAAAGTCACTGATATACCAGCTGGTGGAGGGAAAGTCAATTTATTATCTCTGGTTAGAATTATACGACACTAAACATATGTCAGCAACTGTTGTTATGTCATAATTATGCAAGAGTAGTTTAAGAATGATTTAGAAAAATAGTGCACTTCATTGTGAGAGCCAAACACTATAATGTTCATGTATCGAGAACAATGTTTATGGGCTATATACCGTGCCAAGGAGCTTGGTTTGGATCGGTTTTATAGGGTTTAACGGCCTATCAACATTTAAGGTCATTTCAGGACGAGCCTCCATGTGTGTATGTGTGCTAGAGGTAGGATATGTTGGTGCATTTGCTGCAAAGTGATAGCGTGGCTCTAATGCCGACTTTATAGTGTTATCTTACTGAAATATCATGCCAAAGGCACCCAGCACAGCATTCCGCCCGGTCACGTTATACTGACAACGTTAACCAGTTGTTGCCATTCCCCTAAATGCCGAACGTTTAGAAGGGGAATAACAACTTCCATTTTGAAGGACTGTGATATGTCGCAACCTTTGGGGACAGAATCCATTGTCTTCCTCTTATGGGCGAACGTTCAACAATAATGCCAAAAGTGAGGTGTTGCTAAGGAAGGCGCCATTAACAGCTGAGTTCATTTAAGGACGGGTCATTTGTTGATAGATCATTGGGACTGCAACATGAGCATCAACATAAGTAAGAACTTTATTAATGCCGGCACTTATCCTCGGGGGAATTCGCTTTCTGGACGGTTATATTTAGGATCCAGAGTTGTACTAAATAGAACAGACAATCGATCTATATTTTGCGTCCATGTACTACGGCAAACGTACGTAACAATGTTATGTTAGCGCTTTTCGCTGTAAACATTGCGCTAATTGAAGTCTCTGTAAAATGGTAAAAATCATACTGATTAAATTATGAGAGTACTAATTCACCAATGCGCTAATTTGTTAAAATTCGATAACACGCTAATTGTTTTGTCCGTTAAAATAACTACACTTACAGTAATTGGAAACCTATGAAATAGTGTGTATTCTTCATTTTATAGTTTCGTGTGTTTCGCAACGTGTCATGCTACTGAGCTTATGTATGAGTGTTACCGCCCTTGTTAATATTGTCAATCTATTTCATTTCAATGTAAATTTCATATCTTATCAAATCATAATGTCCACTCATGCATAAAAAGAATTAAACAGGTTTGTCTGTACTTCCATCGAATTGACCGCAATCGTTGCATAATAAAATTTGTTGCACTGAAAGTGGTATCTCATTACAAGTGGCCTCTTAATACAGTTACACAACAAAATCTTCGTTTTACAGCCACTATTTGTCCATAGTTGCGTCATAAAGGGGTTTAGTAATAGATTAAGGGAAATATATACAGGAATTAGTAAGAAAACAAAAAGAGGACTTTGAAATATGTTTGCGGTAAACGAGGTTTTACTGTATTTATGTTAATAGAGGTGGTCT